TCTATCTATCTATCTATCTATCTATCTATCTATCTATCTATCTATCTATCTATCTCAGTGTAGGGACATATAGGTGCGTGTATACTTCATAAACAATAAACTTAAACCAACCCAAAAAGACGACATCACCAAAAGTTTCAATTATTTGGGAGAAGAGTTTTGACCCCTCCGAAGCACTACAATAATAGTCCAGTTTACTTCAGCGTAGACCGAGAGCTTATAATCAATAATATCTTGATCCCTTAAGTTATTCATTCAGATTAGGTACATGTTTCCGTTTGGAAGATTTTTGTTTGTACAGGTGATCCTCCTCGACAGGTGACCGTTAGAGCAGATTCGAAATTCTATATTTAATTAGTGCCTCAAGGTTAAGGGGCTAGATATTCCGCCTACTACAGTTGCACATTCTAGGTGCACTGGAAATGCTTAAGTTACCTGATCAATGGAACAGAATAATACATCATTCTTTCTTTTATCAAAAAAAAAGAAAGAAAAAACAATTAAAGCTGGGTACACATTGTTGCCTAGCCTCTGTAAAGGCTTCCTAACCTTCTAAACAAATTAAATTGGTAGAGAGAAAAAGAGAGAGGAATGATAAAGAAAGAAAGAAAGAAAGAAAGAAAGAAAGAAAGAAAGAAAGAAAGAAAGAAAGAAAGAAAGAAAGAAAGAAAAGAAAGAAAGAAAGAAAGTAAGAAAGAACAACAATTATAAAGAGGACAAAGTTCTGGTTTCAGTTTCGGAGAAGTGAGAAGAAATAAACAAAAGACTGGCGAAGGACAGGCCTTGGTGTGCTGTTATTAAACGCTACTACATATTATTTCCCCTTATCGTATCGGTTGCAGTAACGTTGCATTATTACGTAATGTGAACACTGTTTATCTGCATGGGAAATTAGCGCTGGGTTTCAGTGTCTCCTCTGCGTTATCCTTTAGCAACGGTCACCGAACTGCTATCTGCGAGGTCAGGTCGTCTTACTTGCCACCACGCCACCGTGCGAGACAATTTATCGATTTTATCTTTTTAACTTCAAAGATGACGTTTGCGTGGGAGAAATCTTTCGTTTAACACGTCATTTCTAACCGAAAACGGGAATCCCCGTTTGTTCCCAACAGCTCACATGCGGGAATTCCACACATTGTTGAACCTTTGAGCATGTGACTTTCATCTATCGTAATTAAAAATGTATCAATAGAGTTAATATTATCGCTACCCCAGAATTACAAAGTTCTATCTGCTCAGTACCTGTTTTAGAGAAATTTGACGTTCAAATTTGTGAGTTTCACAACATATCAAGCATTGTTTCAAATGCAATTCTTTGTATATCTTTTGATAACGACTCCGAATATTTTTGTGATTTTGATAGAGCAGATAGAGCATAGTTATGTGAGGCAGCGTGGTGGAATCAGGCTCTCGTCAAAATAATCAAAGTGAAGAAACTTGTATTTTTCTGCAGGTTTATGAATTTTTATCAAATTTTTGTTTTTTGGCTCAACACCTTTCATGCCCATTAAAGAACTCATTTCTAAGTAGATTTTTCTGAAAAACGTTGATAAATGGTACAAAAAATATAAGTTTTCATTTATCACGGACTCTTAAGCTAGGAAAATAACTAATCTTTGACGACCATCTGAAAACAGGTAACCTCACCTCTTTCGTTCGCAAATATCTCTACTTGTATTCAAGAAAATGGATATTTTTTTTCATCCAAATAAAGACAAGTGAACAAGCTTTAAGATGATACCAATAACTCTACATGCCCCAAAATTGACGAGAGCCTGATTCCACCACGCTGCCTCACGATATGCTTTCAGGCCTCATGGTGTTAGTAACTCAAAACGGCTAAAAATGTCAGATAGAACTTTGTAATTCTGAGGCGGCTTATGTCAATGTTCGGTCACCTGTGCTATAACGTAATAAATGACAGCTGTAGCTTTTTGTGTAGCCTGCAAAAAATATAGCCCAATCAAGAGTTTTACGGCACTTGTAACACAGTAATGTCATATAAGTGCCGGAGATTAGAGGTATTACAAGAGAGTAACAAACACAAAAAAGGAGAGATCAGGACAATATAGATGTTTGATAAGAAAGAAGGAGCAAACCCCACCAGAGCACCAGTCAATCACTCACCTTCAAACTCTACATAAAAGTGCCCATAAATATTGCCAAAAGCGTTGATTTGTATGTAAAACAGCTTCTTGAATTGTCGTAAACACAGTCCTTGATGAAGGATGAAAAACGAATTTCAAACAAAT